CCTAAACCCTAAACCCTGAAGGGCTACTGAGCTTGGCTTCCTTTCAAGATACATAAATGGGACTTCCGGGAATTCAGGCCTTCTGGCCTTCGATGTCTCCCAGGCGATGAGAGCTATAAGATACAAGCTGCCTGCAGAGCCTAGAGGATTGCAGTTCTGTGCTTTTTAGTGTTGCTTTTCTTCCGTTCTCTTCTGTGGAGCGCCCTTTTGGACGTGCAAGTGTTTAGGTTTAGAGCCTTGATCAGGGTTGCCCTGCATGGGGGAGACCCCGAACTTCGGGGCATACATGCATACCTGATGTGTCGAAATATACATACATATATCTATATCCATATCTAGATCTAGATCTATAATCTATATATACATGCATGTGTGTATGTGTATGTATATATATATATATGTGTGTGTGTGTGTATGCATATTATATTATCTTATCTTGTATTATATCATAGCATTGTATTGTATAATATTAGTCTAACTTACTACTTGTAGTATCTTATAATGTACTATATTATGTTATGTTATGATATACCATTCTATTATGCTTATGCTAGATTACGTTATGTTATACTGTGCGGTATTATATTACCATACATCTGTACGTATGTGTACATCCCAGCATGTGTATAGATACGTATACACACACACACACGCGCTACCGTGCAGTCCCGGAAAACCATTAATATAGGGGCCTTGATTAGTACAATAGGGTTTTGGGGCCCATTATACTATAATTATAATAAGGAACCCTCAACATAGTATTGGTAATTCTTTACCCTGACCAGACTCCTGCCCGCGACTCCGCTGCTCGCCTCTGACTCCTCCACACGCAAACAAACCCTAAACCTCTGAAGAACGGTGAGTCCGAAACTTCGATCGAAATGCTAAGCTCTGAGAGCAAAAAGTTCGGGTTTAGGGTTTGGGTTTAGAGAAACCCTGAACTCCAACCTTTACCTCTCTTTCCGGCGGAACCTTGCAAAGCAATCTGGAGAAAACCTCGGACTTCGCAACCCCTTCGCGAGCTATGAGGAATAATCTTCGCACTGAATCAAGCTATATATTTAACCCTAAACCCTAAAGCCCCAAAACCCGCCACCGGCCGCAATGCGATGAAGCGGCCGATCGTCCCCTGGGCATTAACGTTTAGGGTTTCAGCAGCTCCAATTAGAGCAGTTTCTCCACTTTGGAATCGGAAATCATCCCATCCACCCAAAACTCCCATAACATTAGGAAACCATGTTGCTTTTGGTTTTGAACCCTAAGGCTTATATGGCCTAGTAAAATCCTAAACCCTAAAGTTGAACCCTAGGGCCCTAGCTCATAAATCCTAATGAACCCTAGGACTTAAATTCTAAACCGCGTATCGATATAATTCTAAGCCCCCCCTTAGGGGGGGCTCAAAACATGTCCGCGTTGACTAGTAGATTTGCTTCCCTGCTTGGAGCGCCGGACGATCAGAGTCTGCTTTGCTTAATGCAGGGGGGTTCGCCACTGGAGGGTATGCCACTGCATTCAAAGAATAACCATGTCAAGGAACCATGAAACCCTAAACCCTAGACCCAACGCCAGACCCTGAACCCTAAATCTTAAACCCTGAACCCTAAACCCTGAACCCCAAACCCTGAACCCCAAACCCTGAATCCTAAGCCCTGAAACCTAAACCCTGAACCC